GCGCGGGTTCAGGCAATCCACTCACCTCAGCCTCCCAAAGGCGTGGGATTACAGGCTGAGCCACCGAGCCCGGCTATTATGAACATTTAATTAACCAATTATTGCATATTTAAAATTCTGGGCCAGGTGCAGTGGTTCATGCCTACAATCCCAGCACTTTGAGAGGCCAAGACAAGAGAATTACTGGAGGCCAGGCATTTGAGACTAGCCTGGGCAACATAGTGAGACCCCCCATCTCTATAACCAAAAAGAATTCTGGCAAAGTGAAAAATTCCCACACAACTCCTGTCTAGTGAGTGGATCAGATGTACGAGGGGGACCCAAAACCCCCCAGAATTTATTTATAAAAAATTGTGTATTTTCTTTTATTGTTTAAACTTCAGTCATCTTCAAAGTACTCTCTGAGCCGGACTCGGTGGCTCAGCCTGCAATCCTGCGCCTTTGGGAGGCTGAGGTGAGTGGATTGCCTGAGTTCGCGGGTTCGAGATCTGCCTGGGCAACTTGGCGAGACCTCATCTCTACAATAAATCAAAAAATTAGCCGCGCGTGGTAGCGCGCGCCTGTAGTTCCAGCTACTTGGAAGGCTGAGGCGGAAGGATCACCAGAGCCCAGCAGGTCGAGGCTGCAGTGACCGGGAGCAGCCATTGCACTCCAGTCTGAGTGACAAGGTGAGACTCCAACTCAAAAAAAAAAAAAGAAAAAAGACTGCTGACAGTCTACTGCTTCAGCAGGGACCAGTGGCATTTCATAAGACTTCACCGTAATGTACTGAACCCTGAGTAATTTGTATAGGGTTTGTGTGTATGTGGGGGGTGCTTTTTAAATTATATTGATGAGTTGTGTTAAGCATCCAAACTTTTCAGTGACTTGCTCCAAAATGACTGCTTTGGGTTGGGGACAGTTTTCAACAATTGAAGAGTTTACTAGTGTACTTGTCTGTGTTGCTTCTTGTCCCTCTCAATCTCTTTTATTTCTTAAAAGTCAGAAGACTAGAACAGTACCAGAAAGTTAATTTTTCCTTAAACTAAAAGACAGAGGAAACTCTGGAGAGCATTTTATGGGCACTGTTTGGTGGTACCTCCTCTCTACTAGGGCTCTGGTAGCAACTGTTCAGTTGTGTGATTGGGTTAATTCTTTTATTTTATTGTTATGTTTTATTATTTTTTTTTAAGGAACAGGGCCTCACTCTGTCTCCCAGACTGGCGTACAGTGGCACAAAAATAGCTCACTGTAGCCTTGACCTCCTAGGTCTGAGCAATCCTCCTGCCTTAGCTTCCCAAGTAGCTGGGACTACAGGTGCTTGGCACTATGCTTGGCTAGTTTTTGAATTTTTTTGGTAGAGATGGGATCTTGTTATAGTACCCGGGCTGGTCTCAAACTCCTGTCCTCAAATGGTCCTCCCACCTCAGACTCCCAAACTGCTGGGATTACAGGAATGATAATATTTTTGTTTTAATGTGATACATGCTGGAAGGAAAGAACTGCCTCAGTTCAATGGCAGACATCAGTGACAAAGGAGCAGGAATTCTAGCTTGACTAAGATCCATAGGGACAAGTTAAAATGGGGATTTTTTTTTTTTTTTTGAGTTGGAGTCTCACTCTGTCATCCAGACTGGAGTGCAGTGGCTGCTCCCAGTCACCGCAGCCTCAACTTGCTGAGCTCAGGTGGTCCTTCCGCCTCAACCTTCCAAGTAGCTGGAACTACAGGCGCGTACTACCATGCCCGGCTAATTTTGATTTATTTAGAGATGAGATCTCGCCAAGTTGCCCAGGCAGGTCTCGAACCCGCGGGCTCAGGCAATCCACTCACCTCAGCCTCCCCAAGCAAGGGATTACAGGCTGAGCCACCGAACCTGGCTAAAATTTTTTAAGAGTGTGTCTGCAGACATGTATCAGATAAAGGACAAAAAAAGCTAACATTGGTTAAGTAATTTTAAAAAGTTAATCATGCTTAAAGTTTAGAAAATACAAGTGATGTCTTTTAAAGATCAACCTCTAGTCTCACTTCCCATATATTTTCACTGATATTGTATCGTACCAAAAGGAAAGCACTGTATATTCTTTTAATCTTTTTTTGTATTCAAGAGAGATTTTATGTTTTGTTTTGTTTTGTTTGAGTTGGAGTCTCACTCTGTCACCCAGATTGGAATGCAGTGGCCGCTCCCAGCCACCGCAGCCTCGAACTGCTGGGCTCCGGTGATCCTTCTGCCTCAACCTTCCAAGTAGCCAGAAT